TTTACAAAATAGAGCAAAAATGTACTAACTCAAGAGAAAACGTGGTCGGCTACAAACCTAGTCGCTTTTTATGTACCTAACATCTTAATTAGGTCTCCCTTGATTTGATTAGCTACTTCAACCTTGCTTTACACGCTTGCAAATAAGTTTGCAAGTTTCGAGTCGATTAAAGTTGAGGTAGATATGGCTAAACAACTGCTGTATGATTCCATGACGTCAGTACGCGTTATGTTGTATCGTTATACGTATGTAGGCAAAAATTTGGCTTTAGACCACACTGCTCCGTGGCCTGTTACAGCCATTTGTTCAATTACTTCTTATTTCTAGTAATATGATACATTTTGACGAGTTTGCAATCAGAAAGTCTCTTCGATAGCGTTCGATAAGCCACCAACACACATGGACGTATACAAAAACATCGTAACATTTGTTGTGAAGACGAGGTCCAAATAATACCAAAATAAAGTAACTAGCAATCTTTATACATTACTGTATTATCGAACATATCCTTTGGATATACTCACAGTATTGCAAAATCACGAACCATGTGGAGCTCTACAACAACTTACAGCCTAAAATACTTGTTTTCCTCCATCCTACATCTAAAGTAATTAACTGTATAACCTTGTAAAATTCGTCCAAGGCTCAAAGTTTCCCAAAGCTTCTTATTCCTTCCTTCCGGTAGTTTATGCCCGTTAGTCACAGGCTACACATATACACAAACTCTGACACATTTACACACTATATACATTTCATGCGCATCTCATATCTATGTACCTATATTACATTTATGCTAATTAGGCCGTGCAAAAAAGTTCGCCAGCTATTCCTTGCAAACTTCGTATTAGGTTAGGTTATCTCACCTATTCGATTAATTAACATAATAAATACTACTAACATTTTTGGAGGCAGGATTGCTTCTTTAAGTAGGGGGAACTCCTATTTTGACATGTAGTCATTAGTCAAATTTATAGCTATACGCGACCATAAAAACTAAATCCTCTTTATGCTCATTAAATTTACTGTTGATAAGAAAATAATTTCCATTCATTTCCTAAATTTTAGATCCCCATTGAATCATCGTTTAGCTTTTTACTTATTATAACCTCAGGGTTCTGATTCAGTTATGACTCTAAAGCCTGTGTCCTCCCACTTACCGGAATACTAGTCGCCCTGGCATACTACTTTTCCATCAACTAGTTGAACGAAGTCACAAGTAATTGGGATAGTATCGTATAATTCGTCCGCTAAACGAAACAGAAACTA